GAATTCACCGTGATTTACAAAAAATCCATACCATCCCTTTTTTTGTGTAATTGCAATGGACATTTTTCTTTTTTTTACAATATTTATAGCCCTGACGATTGACTTTTATATAAAATAATTATTCGCTTAACATACACTTTCCTTGAATCCATCACGATTGATCTTATTTCCATCAAAATGTCATACACTGATTACATCACCATGCTTTAAGTTTGAATAAATGTACTGAACTGAATACACACTTTATGTTTACTGAATAATAAGACAGCGTTATTGAATAGAATAAAATCCTCTTGACCAGGGGCAGCGCATTTGTATTTTGTTCAATGAACACGATGTATAACTTCATTATTGACCTTTTTAAGGGCAACGCCAAAAGGAAACATCAGCACAAAAAAACATTTATAAAGATTCAGATTCTTTTATCTTTTCTTTGAAGTAAACTAATTGAAATGATAAAAGTGTTGTGTTCAGTGGCCTTAAGCTTCTGTGTCACTGCCGTTTTGAATTTTGAGTCACTCATATTTGCAAAAATGTTCAGTGGTTGATATAAAGCGTGGGTTACATTCCCAAGATAACATGTTAGAAATGGTTGCCTTTAATTCAGAGACAAGAATTGTATTTTTGTATTTCATGAATGCATGATCTCTCTGCATCAGAAAGATGAGAGAAACATGTTTGTCCTAGTGAAAGGAAAAGCAAAGGAAGGATGTCTAACTTTTTATTTATGATTTACTTTTATTAACATGTCTGCCAAAACATATTTCCACCTACTAAAACATATCTTAAACACCTCCTCTTAATATGTATTAAAAATAAGAAACAAGTCTGCTGGGAATAATATTTCTTCAAGATTATTTTTCCTACTGCTGCTCCTTCATTAGAAAATATAAAATGTTATACATTTGAAAATATCAGTCCAAGACTTTAACCCGGCCCACTTTGAGTTAAGATTAAGATTACGATTAAGATTAAGATGGACCTTTATTAATCCCCGTGGGGAAATTCAGTAGTTCAAACAGCAACAGGGTAAGGATGAAAAACAGGACAGCACAGATTCACACAGGTTCAGTGGCGAGCCGTGACTTTTATACCTCGGCCCCCTTCCCTCGGAAAAAAAAGAGTTATTACGTCACAGCGTATACTTCAGCGGAATATCAAAACAACGGCCCGGGGTGCAAAACGCATCAATGACAGCGACCCTCTACCACACAAAACAACACCTGTAAATAACCCAATTTGTGTTCTTTGAAATTGAAAAGGATATTGCATTGTGTTTGTTACTTTTGTTGCAGTTGTATAATGTCTTAAATGTAATTTGGCTTGGCTTCCTATTTTGTATGGACATGCTTTTATTTTGAAGGTGAGTTTACGCTGTTGACAGGAAGTTGTTGTTGCTATGGAAACAAGAAAAGCTTCACAGCGGGCGGAACTTGTCATAAATTGGTCAATTGTACTGTCATTTGACATTACTCTCTCGTTCAGTTACTATAGCGGGGCCCTCTGTGAATTCACAGCTGGACGTCCAACAGCTCCTGTCTTCACAGTAACTCGCAGAGACGAGCTTCTTTCATTTAACCCTTCACATTCAAACAGAAACTGAATAGGCAGATTCGAAGGATTTATTTATTTGGAAATGTTATTTTAAATACAATTGAATCAAGTTATTTGGGTAAAACTAATGAAAAATATAACTAAACAAATATTTAAAAAAAAAAATATTAAACCATTTTTTTTTTATTATGTTTTTAAATATTATTTTGTAGAATATCTTAGGCCCTAAGAGAGGGCCCTGATGGCTCGCCACTGCACAGGTTAATACAATTAAAGATCAAATCAAAGATAAAAATAAAAATGATGAAAAACTATGAAATAAGAAATGAATTAAAATGAGCATATATACATATTGGGTCATATAAACGATGCCAGCTCGGTGTGTTACTCAGTGTTTCCTATAACATTTCTAAAGCGGTGATGCTAAAATGCAGACAATAATAAATAACTTGTTTTCTGTGTTGGCAGACACACACAGAGCAAAGGAGAGAGAAGATAACGTAGCCTATAATTGTTGTTTAGCATGCAGTGAGTTAACCCACTCGTCATAATTTAGTTTTAATCAATATAATGACGTGTCTGAACAAGGACTTTGTACCAATGCCTGTTGGAGGTGATATGGAGGGTGTTCTGACCATCAATCATCACATTTTCTTTATATATATACCCAATACCACAAATAACACGTTTGTCTCGGTGCCTTCACAGACTGTACAGCATAAAACACATTCTGTCTTTAGACCCTCACTGTGGAAAAGGTCTCAACATGTCTCCATGCTTTAATGTTCAAAAAGCTCTTTATTTTTCTCATACTGCCTGTGCTGCAGCACCTCTTTTCACCCTCTGTCTGAAACCAGAGCCCAGTCTGCTTGGATAGCAGGCTGCTTTTGTTGTGATTGGTCAACTGCTTAGAGATGCCCCGCCCCTTAGCCTCGGGACAATATGTTCCTTCTGGAGGGAACTTTGTGATTTTAGCCTTTGCAAACCATTTACATGCACAAAAACCTGGAACGCACTACAGCAAAGGTAAAACTCTAAAAGCATAAAAGGGCCCCTTTAATAAAGTATATATATATTATATTATCATTTTGCCTTGGGTGAAATGTAACTCAGAAATCAATAAAAAGTAGAATGTTTTTATCGGAATATTTAACCGCCCCATGGTCTAAACTGAGGTGTCTGTCCCTCTCTCTTTTTTCTTCTTCAGTGGTATGCCAGTCCGGACTACAACCTGTTCGGTCCGTACACTGAGCGCCGTAAGCTCCACCCCGACCAGCCCTTCTACATCCTGCACCCCAGCTACGTGTGGCAGCTGTGGGATGTGATTCAGGGCAACACTCAGGAGAACATCCAGCCCAACCCTCCCTCGTCCGGCTTCATAGGTGAGTGCACATACGTACAAGCATGCACACGGGCGGTATGCATGCTGTGTACATGTTTTCTCCTGTCGTTGCCTCTGTACACTTATCATCCAATTTCCTATTTCTTTGCCTGCGCCAAGAACAGATATAGATGCAAACAGACACACTTGCATTTCATCAAGAAATGATGAAATGTTTTATCTTCAGAATGCACAGTGACGCTATCAGCATGCAGCGTGGCTATGCAGCGCACTACAAAGTGGCACATCCGAGCAGGGGGCTGCGAAGATAAGACCACTGTGAGCTCATCTTAGAAACTCTCCAGCATGTCAATTTCCAGTTCATGTCTCTTCAACTATCATTTCCGACATTTAATATGCTTTCTCCCTCACATAGCCCTATACAGTCTATACACGGCGGCATATATACAAGGCATTTGTTTACCCAAAGAGCGACACACCATTATTCTTGTGGGTGATCTGCAGTATCGAGTGACGATTTCAGATACATGTTGAATGAGCTTGTCACGAATGATTTGTCATTGCCTTGGAAGTATATATATAAAATTGATTTGATTTAGTAGCAAGAGACATGAACACTAGATCTGATTGGTTTTTGACGAAGAACCTCTGTGGTTTAGATAGCGTTCAGACATAAAACAACATGAGTCTACAGTCATGTTAGCAGCTCTGTGAGGCTGTTGCAAACACTCATATCATTATAGCTGGATGCTCACAATGATTATGTTTCCAGTTTCGTAGTTTATCATGTCAGCATGCTTACATATGCTCAGATAGTATTCTTTTTTCTTTGGGTAAACAGAAACACATTGGTAACACGTCACTGACATATTATTTTTTTTTAAATTATGACATTGTTGCACACAGTTACTTCTTTTATCTTACAGTAGTAAAGTAATCGTAAATAAATTATCATCCATTTGGTGCTGTGTTTGCGTCTACCTGGTGAATGTGTAAAATTCTCTTTCCTTTATCTCTATTTTGGTCTCCCCTAACACGTACTGTAAGGGAAGTTTCTTGCTCTCTTGCTGCTAAATGCGCCGCATCATTCACCAGCACGTCAATACCTGTGTCTGCTGCTTTGTGTACAGTTGCTGCTTAGAGCATCGTTTCCAATTCAAAGAGCTGCCTGCTGCAGACAGAAAGACACACTATAAAAGCGTAAAGAATGAATGACAGCTAAACGATGAGCTGAAACCAAGTCAGATGGTTCAGAAGCTTTATGTTAGGGAAAAAGCAACATTACATTGCATCTCAAAGTAAAACCAAAGATATGGTGTACCCCAGGGAACCATATTTGGGCCCCTCCTCTTCATAGTGCATATCAATGATTTGTTTTACTCTCGCATTCTTCAGAGTATTCTTTTTCTGATTATATCATTTTGTTCTTATCTCACATGAATCAGCAAAGTAACCTAAATACGAAACTAGTGAGAGTGGATACATTTTTTAAATGCATAAAACATGTTTTTCAAAGTTTCTAAGGGTCATATAGATTTACTGTTTAAAAAAAAAAGAAGCAAACTTCAAGCTTTTTCTTCAAGTAGCTTTGATAGAAGAAGGTTTTATGCGTGATAACATTCTTCAAAGTAAACACACCGACTGACATTCTTTTTTAGAGCTACAGTCTTCTGAGGGTTACCAAATACACTTGCTTCTTTTGGAAGTTTTTTTAAAGTGAAATATGTTGTTTTTTCTCAATGACTTTCTGACCTTGTTCCAAAGCACTTAAAGGTACTGTAGGGTAGGTACGTTTGAGAAACCGGCTCGAGATACACTTTTTGTTATATTCCATGGAATGCTCTTAACATCCCGATAGCAATGAATATCTTAAGTGCTTTGACAACAAATACATACAAAAATGTCATCTGTGGAAGCCGTAGTACTATAAAAAGCACGACCAATCATTTTAGCCGGCCCGGCTAAAATAACTGGATGGCCTACCTGCCTGTCAGCCTTCCATCTGTGCACAAACTTATCTCGTGCCCTCATTGGTCATGTGCGCGTTCGTGTGTGTTGGAGTGGCTCTATAAGGAAGTGGCAGATTTTCTCCGGTTGTGTATTTTCAAATTCTAGCGCACTCGAGCTGGTTTCTCAGAAATTACCTACCCCACCTTTAAACAAGGGTAAAAAACATTCACTGTAATGGTCTTGCTTTAGTGTGGTTTGCAGAGGTCTACAGTTATGGAATGAGTCTGGTAGCAAAATGTCTTTATTTGTGACCGTTTCAAAACCACTTCTTAAATATATCTCTTCCCCCGAAATGAATAGAAATTGTAATTCAAACTTTCTATATGTGTCTATCTGCTGTATCCTACCAATTTAATGTTTAGACTGATGGAATAATCGGGATCGTTTATTTGTTTGGGTTGTACTTTGGCTTTTCTGTGAATCTTTCGAATTTCAATGTTTTAATATACTATCTACTTTGTGACTTGGCCCATATTCTCAAGCTCCAAGATAGATGATCCTATTTTACATATGTACATTATTCATGACTGTACAGAAACTATAGCCAAAGTTCTCCAAAGCTTGGTAAAGTTGGGGTAAGCTCAAGATTAGTTGATTATACTCTACAGGTTTCTCTTTGACATTGTCCTTTGATATGTTACCATACAAATATGAATAACAGTTTCTTTGAAAAAGCCGGATTTTATATGAATGACATTACTTTTTCTGATACTCACCTTCAATGTTATCATTGCTTAAGGCTCACACAGATATTGGACAGGAAAAACATGTTTAAAATGGAATTCCTCACAAAAATGTATTTATTATTGACAACACACCATTAGGTTATCAGAATCTACAGCTCATGAGTCTTTCAGGCATTGCATAAGTGATAACGCCTCAAAACAGAATAAATAGAAATATCAAACAACAATTGACAACACAAACTGATTTCACACAGTTTAACCACAGAGGAGACACGGGTCACACTTTGATCTGTTGAAACACAGTTGTGCCGTTTTATGAGCGGCAGAGCTTCTGTTTGCCGCTGTTTTGTTTTCCTGATTGAAGTAAAAGATTGCAGGAAGTCAATGATTAGATGGTTTGAGTGAGAGGCAGCAGGGCTTAACATTGAAAAGTCCAGGTGAAATTTAAATTCTTGCATCTTTTATTAATGAAAATGAAATGCTAAATGTTCCTTGCTAGAATCTTTTAGTTTCTTCCTTTGTTTTTTATATGTAAAGCTGCACAGATTATACCGTTTTCTACTCAGCAGTTGACTGACGTAAAACACAAACAAAATCCCTCATTATTGTTGACTATTTGAGTCCGTCTTTGTCTAGAAATACACATCTTCTCACTAGTAATTACTCTGGTTTCTACGTCGCCAATCACTGAGTCACAAATTAAGTCTTTATTCCAAACACTCTTAACACTCATTTGGCAGAAGCATTGTACAAAGCGGCTCAAACTAAGTGCATTAATTATTCAAAGCTAGATTTATTTTTCTGAGACGTTACAGCAAAGTATAGCGAAAATGGGGAAATTATTATTCCTACTACAATGCCATGGCTACTGTATGTGTTAAATGGAGATTGCTTTGTAATCGTTTTGTCTTTTCGAAGTAATACAGCCATTATGGTAACCATTATGGAGGAAGGAGAGACACTGAAATCTGTCAGAAGCCATGATGGCATTTGTCTTCTTTCAACATAAATCTACCAAAACACATTTTTCCGACTGTCGTGTCACATTAAAATGTAGGTTTTTAATACATTTATACAGATTTGCTTTCAATGACAATATGCTTAATTTTCTTATAAAAAAATAAATCTTGCGTATAATCTATAATAAGTGAATAGACTTTTTACCATGAAAACCAAACAAAGTCAAAGTTGTACACAATTGTATAAACACTGGTATGAATTGTTGTCAGGGTTTTAACCACGTAAACAGTTGTTTATGAGCATCACAGAGAAGACAGAGAGCTGTGGCACGTTGAAGCTGTTAATACTTAGAGTCCATTGACAGCATTGTTGCACATCAGAGCATAACATGTCACATTTAGAAAATTGCATTTCGCTCAACGTTTTTTTTTTATGTTTTCCTACCATTTTCACAAGAAACTCCAGCTTCTTTTTTTTTGAAAGTACAGCAGCACAATGGTTTTCTTCCACAGCAATATTTATTATGATAATTAAAACAATAAAATGACTTTCTGTTCCTTACAGTCCCTGAGGGTTACCATCCAAACAAATTATATTAGCTTCTAGATGGGCTTAAATCACATTTTCTGTATCAAATGTGTCTGGTATCCATTACACTCGGGGGCCATTAACTTACAGCAGTTTGTGTATCCTACTTCCCTGACATTGGATCCTGCAATCAAAACGTCAACATGCATTACATCACAGCTAATGGCGTCCTTTTGGCAAACCTTGACTCTATAAGTTATCGCAGTGTATCTCAGCCTGGCCCCTCCTGATGTGGGATACTAAAAGCAGGTGAAATAGGAGCCATTTGGCAACTATATCCAGATCCTTTTGCTTCCCTTCCTTTAAAGAGGCCCTATTGTGTTTTTTAGGGTTTTCCCTTTCCTATAGTGTGTGCAGTAGCTTTAAGTGCATGTAAATGGTTAGCAAAGGCTAACATCCCCAAGTTTCTCATAATACAGGTGGAAATAACAGTTTGCACTATGTGTTATCAATTTAGAATTACATGCAAGTAACATGCAACAAAATCATGCCATGACACAAAACCACTACAGCAAAAGAGGAATCCCTATAGCAGAAATAAAAACTGATGCCGACTGTACCATGCAGATTAAAATCATACGTTTTAGTATATACAGGTTGACATTTAAATGTAAGATCTTTGTGCGAGAGACAAACTGGAGTAAAGAGGACTGCACAGCAACAGAGAATAGGCACTAGGTTTGTGTTCTGGCTGAGGGGAGAAGAAAATAAAACATAAAGTATATTTTGGAAGTTATTTATTATTTGAAATGGTTACGTTTTTAGTTGACTTCATTGTAAGACTATTATTCTAAAATGATTTTATCCTCAATGTAATTGTGCTCTTGTGTTAATAATAATCTATATGGCCTGAAGTAGACGCAAATGTGTATGGAAAATCCAAATCCAGTAATGCACAATACTTTTATATACAATACTGTGCATTTTTGGGAATATTCGGGCCTGTTTCAACAAAGCAAGAACAATAAAGACTTCGTTGTTCAGAGTTTGTTGCAGAGTGCCCTGATTATAACCTTTCAAACACTTGTTGGGATACATTTGAAGCCACAGAGACTGTGAGTAAAGTCAGCAAACACCATGCAAGATAATCATCAAGGTTTAGGAATGAGATGTTCACCAAAGTGGTCGCATAGCTTTGGCCATATAGTGTTTGTCAAACATGTCTTCAGTATATTTAGTACTTTTTGTGTTTTTTACAAAACTCAAGGACAAACACAAACTCACACATAAAGTACATTTACTTTCTCGATGTATCATGCTTCAGTTCACATTCCTTGGCAGTTCACGTCTCAAGTGTGGCTTATCAAGCTTAGTCCTTTCTGTTTCATCATGTCTGTCTGCTGTCTGGTGCCTTTGTGACCTCGGGGGTGCAGGCCACCGTGTTGCTGTACACTCTGCGGTTCAGCTGCATCACCGTGGTCTTCGAGGGCATCGACGTGTTGCCCTGATCCGCAGGCCGGTGATTGCAGTGAAACAGAGTCAGGAAACACCTGTAGAACTGAGATGGAAAGACGGGAGAATGTGAACACAACTCACCAGCACAACATGAGTGTTCTCTGCTATCATTAACTACGGGTTGACCTAGGGCTGCTCGATTATGGCAAAAATCATAATCTCGATTATTTGGGTCAATAATTGATATCACGATTGTTAAAAACGATTATCCATTTACTTTCAAAACATCCATTTATTGAAAAAAAATGTTTAAACGGTATGTTTTTAACAGTTGATTACCCTGAACTTTAAGTATAATTCAACTGAAAAACCCCAAAAAATAAATAAATAAATAATCGTTTTATTTCGATGTTGTTTTCATAATCGTTGCAAGCCAAAATCGTAATTGCGATTAAAATACGATTTAATTGAGCAGCCCTAGGTTGACCTTGGTTTGTTTCATGCTTTGAGAGACTCTAGAGTTCGATTGGGCAGAAATCATGCCTAAGTGCACTCTCATGTCCCCACTGTCAATAAGTAAAGCCACTTGAGAGGAGAGGATAGCGCTGACTTGGTGTCAGAGGTGTTTTTGTTACTTTGACCTTCGTTCTACACAGTTTCAAAGGTCTGTCAGTTCTGTGTTGTCTGAGTACTGCTAGGGAGTGAGTCATCATGGCCGTTACTTTGCCACTTTTGTCCTGATTCTGATGGCTTAGCTGCAAGTGCAATTGTGTAAATCAAGGCAAAGTGAAAAGACATTGAAATGGTCCATTTATGAGCGAAATGTACTTTTACTGAAAACTGTTTGTAGGGCTGCGTTTCAAAGGCTTATTCAATTTACCGGAAAAACTGCCTCTTCTGTGAATGTATTTACATCGATCAGCATGTTGATTTATTGTGAGGAAATAGGAGGGATAACAACACAGGGCCATCTTGCTTTCAAACAGGCTGTAGAGAAATGGCTATTTGTCCACAAGATGCTTATAGATTCTATAGGGAGGCTCCCGCTCATAGTGATTTGTTGTGATTGTGATCATGCTGGAGAGCAATAATGCAGAAGGAGGAGAGTTGCGAGCAGAATACCAATCATCAGAGAGGGAAGTGATAAACAGAGATCAGCAGCAGTGTTCAAAAGCAAGGTGGTGTGAAAAGCAACAAAGGATAACAAAAAGCTGACTGCTCTGTGTGTTGGCAGCATGCCACATCGTATGAAACTACCATGCTGAGGCAGGCGAACGCTTCATTCATTATGCATTCAGTTCTATTTTTATCTTTATCTTAAGGAAGGTTTTGCTGAGCATGCAGGCACAGCCCAACTCCACATTTGCACTTACAGTATAATCACATTTGCACATTTGAACTGCCCGGTGAAACAGATTCTGACACGACCGTGTGCAGCGGAGACTTTATGAAGAAGGCTTGTCTCAAAGGAAAACACCTAGCAGATGCTGAGGACGGCTAATACATTTTTTACACTCCTTTAATCACATGTGCATTTTAGTATTGATGCACTTTCATACTAGGCTATATCTGTACTGGGAGGGCAGCTACATGAACTGTAAACTGGACATTAGGGCTGTCCCGAATACCATTTTTCGGGCTCCGGATATTCGGTAGTAATCAGCAGCGAATATTCGGCCCGCGCGGGTATTTCGGTTTATTCACGGCATTCATTTTGTTATTCTACAGTATTGTTGTTTTATAGTTATTTGTTCATGTATATAACCCAGTTTGTGTTCTTTGAAATTGAAAAGGATATCGCATTGTGTGTGTTACTTTTGTTGCAGTTGTAGCCTATATGTCTTAAGTAAGTGTAATTTGGCTTGGCTTCCTATTTTGTATGGACATGCTTTTATTTTGAAGGAGAGTTAGCACTGTTGACAGGAAGTTGTTGTTGCTATGGAAACAACGTGACGGAGATTAATGGAGAAAAAGTTATATCTACATATAAAGACGGAGAAAGTAAACGATAACGTTTATGGTTAAGTGTTAGCACCCTCCGAAGAGGCACAAGCTCTTACGTTAATATTGGAGTTTTCAATCAATTCAATTTGGTGGCAGCCGCAGTGCAAAGCGGCTGCCAAAAAAAACGGAAAAAAAACAAACGAATATCCGAACAACAAAATTGAAACCCGAATAGTACTCCAACGAACAAATATGGGTATATTGGAAAGGCAAGTTAGGACAGAAGTTGAAACTGAAGGCAGGAGGTGTTTGAGTTCATGGCGAACTGATGAAAAAAAAAACAGCAGGACCTCATGTCAATATAAACCCGAGTGGTGTCAAGAGAAAATGTACGATCTGGGTTGATATCTTGAAAACAAGCCACTCATCACCACAGGGGTGGCAGGAATACTTTTTGGAAATATGTTTTTGTCTTTTCTCATAGATAAGTGAGCGAGTGAAATGGGAACATTGACACTAATCTCATATCTGTCCAGTGAAAACAACAATAGAGGCGTCAACCAATTATCTTATTTTAGCATTAAGACTGGAAACGGGGACGAAGAGTTGTCATCCTTGTTATTAATGAACGTCACTGTTCGGGGAAAAAGTCCAATCCCTATCCTTACGTTGAACTGACGCCTGTTGTTTTTACACAGATTTGGCAGGTGGATATTTGTACCTTTTGACAGCCAGGCTAACGGTTCCCATCTGCTTTCAGTCTTTATGCTAAGTTACGCTAACCAGCTGTTGCCTTTAACATCATATTGCAGGAGGAAATCCTATTATCTCACTCTCAGCATGAAACACCATTTATTTTCCCTGAATGTCGAACTTTTAGCTGCTCTGCAGATCATACGGATTGTACTGGGAGGCTTTCAGGTGTGAATGTAACACTGTGTGCATGTAAACAAATAAACCCTGGAAGAAGCGTACTGCTCTCTGCTTAACCTCTTATTATGATAATAGATGCAATTTAGAGAAGAAAGAATAAAATGGCAGCCTATAATTTGGCTTTCAACGTCTAACAAGGTATTGATTTATTTATTAAAGCTTTTTTTTCAATCCTAAGCTTGTATAAGTGAGTACCAAATCGTTTTAAAGAAAGACAGGAATTATTTTCAACATGAATACCTGACCTTCTCTCTCTCTCTCTCTCTCTGTTTCCATTGCAGGCATCCTCGTGATGATGGCGCTGTGCGAGCAGGTGCACGTGTACGAGTACATTCCCTCCATGAGGCAGACGGACCTGTGCCACTACCACGAGCGTTACTATGACGCCGCCTGTACGCTGGGAGCCTACCACCCCCTGCTGTACGAGAAGAGCCTGATCCAGCGCATCAACACGGGGCCCGAGCGGGACCTCAGGAGGAAGGGGCGGGTCTCTCTGCCGGGCTTCAGCACCGTCAACTGTGACATCTGAGAAATGAAACCTGACCCTCTGAGCCAAACAAACACACACTCCGGCCTTTTCTGGCTGACTAAGGGAGAGGTGCAATAAAGCCACTGGAGACACGGAAGCTGGAGCTTACACGTTTCAAATTAAACCCTTGAAGAACATAAGCCATAGCGCTCCAGGGAGGGATCAACATGGAGGCTTCTGAAGGAACTTGTCTTCAATAAATTGGTTTACTTGACCAGAGACTGCCTGAAAGAGTCTCCAAGAAGGATCTGGAAAAGACGTTCTCTCTGCTTTAGCTGAGCCACGTTAGCGGTGGAGATGACTAGGGTAGCAACAGATCAGTTTTTAGATAGAAGAAGTGCATTTTCAATAACTGGGTGTGTTTCAATGGTGTAAACTCTGTGTTTTTCAATAGTATGCATGGGTCTCCACTTAAAAGGAAATGCCACTGTTCAAAACAATGGATATCTGTGATTTTTGTTCCTTTCTTTTTTACTGGTCCAAAGGGTTGTGAATAAATAAAGAAGTCATCCACGCTGAATGTCATAAATCCAACAGACACAAACACACGCAGCAACAGGAGATATGTGTTAAAGACGTGTCTGCAAACATGGAGACATGGTGTCACCGCCGTCCTTTTACTACATTTCATCGCCTGTTTGACATTCCCCTGACATCTCCTTGTGAAATAATAAGTTAACCAGTGCCGTCAGGAAGGGGCTTCTTTCACACTCACTGCTTAATTACTCTCCTGTGCATGCCAACCTGCCGCTCCTTGTTCACACTTCAGAGTGGATAATCATTCAGTGTCAAGAAGCCTGTCTCTCACTTTAAAAACCCCACAGGGAGGAACGACCTGGTTGTCCTTTGTGGGTTCAGTTATAGTAACATGTTTTTATCAGTAAGTAAATGAGGCCAAAAAGAGCCGAACAGCGGAAACCCTGTGCCTCGTGGTCGCCTGAACACTCTCCTCGGGCTGCCTTGTGTCTGTTCAGGTACACACAGTCTAGCTTCATACCGGGACTGCAGGAGCGTTGAGTTGAATTGCAGTGAGAGGTGTGACGCAGTAGATATTGCTGAAGTCAGCGGTTTTCTCCACCACGCTTCAGCGATCTCCCCCCCCCTGTTCTTCGACGGTCAGATGGTTCACTCGTTATTGAATGTAATTTCCCCTTTGCGTGAAACCCTCCCTGGAGCTCACCACTGCAGTACATGTAGTCTGCGTATGTGCAGGGTTATTTCTTTGTCATGTAACAGCCAGAAGCTCATTTCCTACGACTATTAATGTCTCATATTTCCTGAATCCTTTTAATACTGGGTTGTACCGTAGGCAGCTCAAAGCGGAGACCATTATAAAGGAGGAATTTGAACCGGTTATTATGTGAGCAGGTTTGCATTGTCTCACGCTAGGATGATTTTTTTACGTTTACAGTCAATCAGTGCCACATCTGCGATCTAGAGGTTGTAGTTTAGTGTGGAGAGGACGATTGGTTGTGATTCTGCTGCAGACAGTCAGAAAGATCTTGCCTATAACTGAGATTTGTGTTGTTATTCTACAAAATGTTCTTGTGCCATTGGTTGTGGATTGATATAAGATGTGAAAACGTGTCTCGGAAATGTTGCTTTTGAATATCCTGATGTATGTTGAATTAGATGGCTTTGGAATAACGGTAGAAGTAGTAATAATAGTGTGTAGATGATACTGGGGCTTAACATTGATGTACAGTAGGGCTGGGTATCACCTGAACTGTATCCGTTTTACAAAAAACAAATACTTTGCTGATACCAAAACAATGCATTTCTCATTTTTTCTACAAAAACATTTTTATAACTGGGGAAGCACCTGATCAAAAGGAAAAAAGTACCTGAGCAAGTATTTGGCACCAATTTTGATACTTGACAGTCAGGGTGGGCAATATCCATTTAAGTAAACCTCTATTATGGTATTTTGTATTGCAAATTTGATATACTGCGTATCATTATAAAGTAAATGTTCTGGAAATTCTGATTTGGAAACTACACCCGGTTGCTAAATCATATGGTAAACACTGCTAAAACAAAAAGAAATTCAATCAAATAAATGGACTAATTATGAAAAACTGAGATATCTCTCTAATGTACTACAATTAAACATCACCAACTTAACATAGGCAAAAACTACAGCCTCCAAAATGACCATGCAATTGGATCAAATCCTCTAATATTGGAGGTGTCATTATACAGCATTACATTTAGCTAGGTTTACCACAACCAGCAGCAGATGGGGTAGACAAAATAACCAGATGGGAATGACTAATTCAGTGAATTACATACATAACAAAGATATTTCATCACATTGATGCAAAATTCTGTAAATCTAATATTGCCAGAAAGCAGTACAAATTGTGTAAAAACAGTCGGTCTCACGATAAGTATTTGATTATATCGCCCAGCCCTACTCGACAGTTTGAATACTCGGTTGTTGTGGAACATTTTGAAATGCAAACTGTGGAGAAGGTTTGATACCCAGCCCCAGTTTCAGGTGGTTTTCCTGGCATGTCATAGGAAGAGTATTGAAACAAGGAACCTGGTAAAGTATTAGAAACGATTAGAGGACTATAACGGAGATTTAAAAAACAGTCTTAACAGATCATTGTGAAGCTTAAGGAGATTTATCATTCATTTTGAATCATGCAGGTTTCCAGCTGAGCTGTGGGTCTTATGTTCCTTTGTCCAGATAAATGATCAAATGTTTAATTGCTTGTGATTGTAACACACTGAAGGTGCAAACACCCTGAACATATTGTACATGTATATTTCCAGTAACTTGGATTACTTTTCAATGCACAGAGCATGCAAGTCAGGATCAGGGCTAAGAGTCTCAAACTGTCCGTGCTGTACCGTGCTGCGAGTAGGCACCATAGTCATTAATGCTGTGAGAGGCGATTATGCTATAAGATTCTTTTTTAAGTGGTGTTTTGCGGATATTAGTGCATGCTTGTGGACAGGGAAATCTCATTAAGCTGCGGTGCAGCTATTAGTAATTCCCGGGGAGCATTCGATTCAGTGCAATGCGTTTTGGCAACTTCATCTTCCCTTCTGAATATTGTGCCAAATCCCATCTTTAATTATGTCTTCGCTGGGTGCAATGAGAGTAATAGCAGGTGCTAATGCTCCTCTCTGTGATGATTGAGGTGGAATTTAATTAACAATTTGATTGCCAGAATTAAATACCAGACCGTGTGATGTAACATGAGGGATGAGAGAACCTATTTGCAGTCACTGTTTATTACGTTGCCCTCTCAGCCTCTTTCTATCCACTCTTCTCTCTTGAGGCCTATTTTTCATTAGATGTTTTTACTCAGAATTGTGGGAATGTGTGCACCACACTGCCTCTAAAGGATTGTTCCACATTGAAGGTTTTTTTTGTACATCTAACTCCTGCAGGTTGTTGCAGTTCTCCTCGCTCAATAAAGAAGCATCCATGACTGGACATAATGAGTGAATGCCTCACTCTCAAACAGCCTTAGGGTGTTCTTCTTGACTTTGATTTGTGAGTGAATTCTCTTCTTACACTTGAATTGATATTTAAATAGACCATTTGTATGATTTCAGCTGTTGTAATTTGTCTTTTTTTACTGTGTAAATAAAGCTGTTGTAAATGTTGAATGTTGCTGCCTCACCTGTTTGTTCATGAGAATGTAGATGACAGGGTTGATGACGGTGCTGCTCTTGGCCAGCAGCGAGGGCACCACGCTGGCCACAGGACTGATGATGTTTGGGGGGCCGAATGTTGCCATCATGGCCACCACGCCGTACGGCATCCAGCACAGCATGTAGCAGGCCGCTGTGGTCAGAACCATAAACAGGATGTGGTACTCTCTCCTCCGCGCTGCCGTCTTTCTAATCTTACCCACCTGTGAGAAAGAATCGGGACACAAAGTGAAGCTTTAGTCTTTTAAATGGCTCTTTCCTTTATTCCTGAAGTGCTCCTTTGACTTAAAAGTACTTTCTGTCAGAGAGTGACAGCTGCAATGTAAGTATCACTTTCTTGGCAGCTAGTAATTTACTTTCATTTCACTGCAGTGGGAGGCTTAGACCTACACAACTTTTCTTTCATAAACTTTCAATTTGTAATCAAGTAATTAATTTCATCATCTGAGCTTCAGGAAAGGCATTAATAATGAGCATATTAATTGGTCCTTGCGTTGTACTGATCTACAATGCAACTGTAAGAAAGTGATGAAAAAAGACACTCACTTGTATGTTATTTGTATTGTAGAAAAAAAAGGCTTTGCACACTCTGGCTCCACGTGAATTTCTCTTTTATTCAAATTACATTCCTACCCTTAAGCCTTCTTCAAGATCAATGCAAAGTCTTGTGAAAAGTGGCTCGAGTGCACGTCGTGACAACAAAATACATACAAAATACAAATACACTGATTGCTTCCTGCTGAAAACGCTTTTGTTTCTGCTCAATAAAAAGAAAAGTACACACTTCATCTGAGTGCTTGTGTTTTGTCTTGATCTTTTTTTGAAGATCACTAATCATGATTGAAATAGATATGGAGCCAGAGTGTGGATCCCTTTTCACAAGTATAATGCTATAAGAAATCAGCCTGTCACTAAAACTGTTGGAGTGCGTTACTTTTGAAGGGGTCCATGTTTTTTCTAGGTTTTCCCATTCCTGGGCTCTGGTTTCAGACAGATGCTTAAAGGTGGGGTATGTCATTTTTATCAGAAACACTTTTTGTTATATTCCATGGAATGCTCTTAACATCCTGATAGCAATGAATATATTAAATGCTTTGACAATAAATACATAACATTTCATCTGTGGAAGCCGTAATACTGTAAAAAGCACGACCAATCATTTTATCCGGCCCGGCTAAAATAACTGCAGGCCTACCTGCCTGTCAGCCTTCCATCTGTGCACAAACTTATCTCGTAGGGAACGAGAGTCATGTGCGCGTTCGTGTGTGTTGGAGGAGGGGCTCTGTAAGGAAGTCTGAAGGAAGAGGCAGATTTTTTCCAGTTGTGTACTTTCAAATTCTAGCGCACTTGGTTTCTCCAAAATGACATACCCCACCTTTAAGTATTTTTGTCTTGATTGATGTTAATGTAGAAATACGCTTCAATACAATACAGGTTTTGAAATAGGATGTTGACACAGGGGCACTATGGAAGAGAAGTCGAGCATTATGTAATAAAGCAGAACTCACCTACGTTGATATTGTACTTCAACGGTCCAAATTCCATTACAATTGTGCGATTAATCAACTGACTAAAGCCAATTTAGGCGCCCAGGGTGTGCAATATATCTCCCTTTATATCAGTGTACACATTTAACTGATCTGCTCTTGCTTTTCGTCTCTTGAAATGTATTTTTCAAGAGGATTAATCTAACTGCATCTTAATCCTAATTCAATTAAAGTTATCTTGACACCATTCTGTGGATCTCCTCACACACAGAAGGATCTCTTTGTTCTCCCTTTCTTCACCCTTCTGCTGTTTGGATGAAAGAGTTGGAAAGCAGCGTCACTTCATGAGACCCTCAGTCAGCTGAGCCCAGTACCTTTTTACAACCTCATTAGACTCACACACTTGATGCAAATGATCCCCAGTTTTAACGACCACCAGGGGATTTAGCAGGACATCTGGAGCTCAGCTCAGCTCTGCTAATGTATGTGATTACTTTAATAACATGTGGTAATACTTACTCATGCAGGGGAAGTCCAGTTCACTTGTGTTTAAAAAAGGAAGTTGAACATATAATTCACTGTTCCCCCTTGTAACATGCACGATAATAATAATAATAATTGTGCTGTCATTCATCATCACAGGGAAGTGAAAGGAGCCTTTTGCTGCATGCATTTGCAAATAAATGGAGCACTGTATCAGTTTCATGGAGCTATCATATGAACTGGTTGTTGACTCGAAAGTTAGCCCTTTTAATCGCAGATTCTGCATTCAGGTGGAAAATAAGTAGGCAATGTACTCCAAGGAATTAGGACCAATCACGTTTAAGCAGGCGTTAGCTGTAAGCAGTTTGTGTGGAGCAAAAGAGGATGAACGCATTGGCCAAAATGTAATCTAACAACCCATTGCTTATCGTCTGACAGACAATTAGCTTGTTATAGGCTTGTAAACTGGCTCATTGTAAAATATCCGGACATAGTTTAATCTCTCAATCCCAGCTCTATTTGTTGCGTCTGATATCGCTACTTTGGCTGTTAACTGTGTTGACGGATCAGATGAATATTTTCCAGCCGAATCACAACTTAAAGCCTGCCTAATTCAATAAAGAAACTGCCAAAAGACTATAACCTTGCCAGAAACCCATTGAAAAGCATTACACACACAATAGAAAACACATAATAAGCTTCACATCACACATTCCTTGGTGTTTTCTGACGGAGAAAACTAATGTTTGTTTCACAGCTGATTGTTCCAAATTGACCAATTAAAATCGAGTATTCTACAAAGCGGCGTAATGGCGAAAGATAACATGTTGGATATCTCAGCCAACAGAGAGTGTAGTCAACAAATTATATACAAAAATTGCCAGGTCAATTATAATAAGTAAAGAAGGTCCTCTGTTATCCCCGACAATGATTTAACACACCTTACGTCAATCAAATATTTGTTAAATTAACATGTCATTATGATGAGAGAATGGACAAAACAAAGTATACTGAATGTTGTATCTGTGTTGTTGATTTGGCAGAAGCATGCCCACTCACTGTCACCAATGAGCAGCCAGTAAAGGAAGATGGTTTGGATATTCGCTGGCTACATTTAAACCCCAAACAATAATATCTCCTGCCCCAAGAGGCTTTTTGCCGTCAAGGTTTCCAGATGGATGTCCATGCACTTTAATAAAAATTGCTCCCCAAGTGATTAATTATAGCTTCTGGGTTTACTTATGCGTTGTGTGGTCCAATGCACATCTCCCGCTGGCCTCCGCCTGCTGTCACTCATCTCATAGACTTTACTTTGGGTTGACATAACACACTTTAAAATAGATTTGTTTTAAACCCTGAGTGGCTGCACGGTATCCTAACATAACCGGGGTTGGAAGAGTAACTTTACTCCGTTACAATTTCTAGTTACCTGTAAGAAAAGTAATCAGTAACCTAATGTGAGTATCAAAATATAAGGAGTAATGTAACCTGATTATGTCCTGTTACTTTTGGATTCCCTCAATATCAAATGCCAATACAATAGAAAGAAAATATCCATTAAATGTGTTTTACTTCAGTACATTATATCCATACATTTTAGGACCCATTTTGGCCCACTTCTAATCTCATTCTTTCAGTCAGGACCATCGGTGAGAGTATGGAAGAGGATAGACGGGCAGATTAAAAGCTTTGCCTTCTGGCTCGCGATGAAGAGAGAGCAGATCCAGAAGGCAAAGCTCTCAATCTACCAGTCCATCTTCGTTCCTAAGTGAATTATATAAGATAACAAAAGAATGTTACCATAGAAAAGAAGAAACCAAGATATTTTGTGTAAAAAATGTGTCAGAGATTTTATCAATAAGAAAACCTGCCTTTCATTAAGCATATTCAGGCAGCAGCCTATACACCCACACGTGAGCACATACTTCAGTTTAAAAAAGCAGAAATAAAAACTGAGCTGACAGAGAATGCTCCGTTTTAGATAAATAGTCAAGGTCTCTCACACTATTTTATGAACATATAGGTTCACCTACTGAATTAAAAAAAGGAAATGAACCAAAGAAAGTGAAAACCATAAAGCAAATTCAGTATAGGTATGTAGATTACATTCAAAGAAGGAATACAATCTGAATGAAACGCAATAAGATCATTATTAGTTGTAATCCCCAATTTTAGAATTTACCTCAAATCTCATTATATCCTTTTCTATGTAACACTCATGAACTTAGTCTTTGTGATTTATGTCTTTTTTAATTTGAAAAGGGTTCACCCCCTGTGTCATGTCTGTTTTTACGTCTGTGTTTGATGACCTGATTTGGTTCACCTGGTTCCTCTGTGTTTTGCCTTCCCTCCCCAGCTGTGTCTTTTCTTTGTGATTAGTCTTGCATATAAGCCTTCCTCCCCTTGTGTTTATAGTCAGTTCGTCTGCTTTGTTCCTGATATGTGGTGTATTTCGTACCTGCCTGATTCCTATTGTTCCGGCTCATGCTTATTCCCCTGATTCCCACACCCGAGGCCTGTACTACGAAGCCGGATTTTCGCTTAGCGAGCTAACTTCAGGGAAAACTCTGGGTTTCCGGTCCTACGACGCTGGTTCACTTATTAGCGGGCTAGATCTCCATGGTAACTTATGCTGAACGGCTAGCCTGGTCCGGAGCAGAGGCCTATACTACGAAGCAGGATCTTCGCTTAGCGAGCTAACTTCCTGGATTTCCGGTCCTACGACGCTGGTTCACTTCTTAGCGGGCTAGATAACTTATTCTGAACGGCTAGCCTCCAGAGCAGGATTGGTTCCAGGATAAAAGCACTGCCTGCTGACCAATCAGAGCTCAGTGTGCAGAGTTTAAAGCGATCAATTCATATGACAGGAGAAAGGAAATACAGTTTAAACTGCCGTTGCAGGAAAGACGGCCGGCCAAAATCACCGACTGTGTGAACGTGAAAATTAATAGAATATCCCCTCCCATGTTCAGAGCAATCTGACTATTATAACATTAGCGTTAAGAAAGCTTACTTAAATATCTGCCACAACTTAAGTAACCGGATCAGAGTAACATTACGTACAGTCCGCGGCACTGTGAGTGCAGACGTCGATGTGTCCCATTATCATTCATATCATATCATATCACATCATAATGTATCATATATTTCCTTATTTGAGTCAGCTTCTTGAGCCGTATCTGGCCGTGCAACACTCACAGTGTCACATACTGTATGCAGAAGTATTATTTTAAGCAACACATTAAGTTGACGAAACACTCGAGTCAAATGTAATTAAAGTCAGATCCACTCGTGTCTTGGACGGGACAGTGATATCACAAACCTGTTAATGTACGCATTCAAACACTTTTTCTGTTACCAGCAGTATTCACCTTGCAGGTGCAGCTATGTGGCTTTTATCTTGGATAAAGTGTTTAAGTCATGGATGTTTAAAGTTTAACGTCTTCATATTTGTCTAATTATAGTTGACTTTTCATTCAGGAAGTATGACGTGCTGCGCTGTCAGTATGCTTGTCCATGTTTGTGATTGGTCGAATGCTCCAAATACCACCCCTTTCATGTGAACGCGCACCTAACTAGATAGGGCAAAGCTGGCTTGAGCGATCGAGTTGATAGCCAGCGTCGTAGGACAGTTTAGCGAGAGCGCGTTTGTTTTGGATTAGGTAAGCCGGGTAACTCAAACATATCCAGGTTAGGTTGAACCGGCTTCGTAGTACAGGCCTCTGGTCTGTATTCAATTATTATTTTTGTATTCAGCTGTTTTGCCTGGTTCCCCTTGTTTTTTTGTCATCAGCTTTTTCTTAATTAAAAGCTTGATTTTGGTTATGTATTCCTGCCTCCCTCTCTTACTGCGTTTGGATCCAACCTGACAGTAACTCTAAAACAGTTACCTTTTTCCTGTTCTGTTACATTCGTTACTCCCAAAGCCTGAAGTTAACAATACATCCATGATCAGTTCAGTTTTGAAATGCTGAGCCCGGATAAGCAGATTGCTGTTAGCTTTCATTCATGCTTCACAATCAGCGACTCTTTGACCAGCTACCTGGATATGAGCTGGCGAATGACACCCAATCATTTTCATACACTCAGCTTCCCTTATATCCACTTATCACTTTCACACCACTGATACGGTCTGATGCTGCATTCCCCTCAATCAACATGACCTTTGCTTTACTCCGTGTGCTGAACTTCTCATGCTGTTGCTCAGATATATTCTCCATGCATTTTGCATACGGGGGATTCGTTTTCCCCGCCGAATCGTTGCTGCTCTGATGTTTCCAGAGCGCTACCTCAAAGAGCAAAGCCTTTTCAGCCAAATCACACTGTACAACCATTTCATAAAAAATCCTTAACATGGCTCTTTTTTACTGAACGTACCACAGCAAATGACAGCCTAATTTCACAGTTTGATGGGGTTTCAAATGCTTGTTGAAGAATCCATTACTGATTTCAACAAAATATGGTGAGAGTTGAAGCATCCACATTCGACCAAAAGGGAAACGTTGTACTTACAAGACTGATTAGGCTGTGATTGGTGCTTAGAAAAAAGGGATGAGGATTTTGCCAACCAACACTTATATTGATATTGCTCAAAGGAATTGATCTCTTTGTATACACAAGGAGGAACAAAGCTGAAGACAGAATGGAAAAAAATGTGCATTTATCCTCTCACAAAGATCTAAATCTCTTTACTAGAACAGGTACTGTAGGCCTTCTTTATAAAAACACAACAATAAAGACACAATATATGCCAGCTTTAGCAGCCGAGGCTAGACTGTATCTCACAGCACAATCCCTTTAATACACCCTATCTACAGGAATGTACAGTATATGTCTGCTATGTGAGGAATGAGTCAAGATATACGGTGTTTCTTGAAGTCTTTAGAAAAAGAATCCATTTTCTAAGTGGTCAACAGGTTGTTTCACAAGCACCAATACACTGTAAGTGTGTGACCTTTCTGTTGAGAGAACATCCAGTTTCCCTTTGCTGATTCTTGTCCTAAAATATGGCTGCCATTTAGGTTTAGTCATTTGTTCACGCGTAGACTACTGGAGGTTTTAAACTGGGCTGCTAATTGCACAACATCAATTACACTGTGAGTCAGCATGACGTGAACTCTTTAGCTTTAATTATGTTATTCCTAATAAGGAAGGTAAGTATGTTAAATGAGCATGGACAGCACAAGTGGTTTGAATAGTGCCTGAAGAAAAGTTAATGAAACTGAGCTGAAACCAATTCAACTATGTGACCCACATAGTTTTAATCACAGGTGAAGGGCACTTTGAAAAATCTGCTTATTGATAGAAGAAGGTCGAGCAAAGAGCGTGATTTAATTTAGAAAAGAGCCACCTAGCAGTGAGGATAAGACGGACCAGTAGAAGAACATTAGACCTGTGCAGCTCGATAGCAGCGACTCCTCCTCCCTCTTAGGAGTCAGAGGTTGTTGCTGCCTTCTTGGCCAGGTCAGCATTGAAAATTAGATTTTATTTCAATGCTTTTTTATCTGGTTAAATAAAGGTTAAATAAATAAATACATTGTCTTTGTTAGTGAGAAGATGTGTGAGTGGTATTAAGCTTTGTCTCTGCAGCTGTTAACAGCATCATTCTGGGATAATCCCCTGCGCTGCAGACCCCTTCAGCTCTCAGGAATAAACAGTCTCTATCCCTGGGAGACCAAATGATTTAACCTCTTAGCAGGTAAAGTCTCTCCCCAAAACCCAATGCACCAGTCACTGCAATAGATACTCGTAATGTGCCTGACCGTGATAAATGAAAATACAATCTGTGTTGTTGTGTTCAGGGCAGCTTTTTTTAAATCAATGCATGCTAATACTTTCATTTCATGTATTTTTGAAAGATAGAAAGTGGTGTAGAAGCAGAGTAGGGATTTATGGCACAGTTTCATTTACTTACAAGTGCATGGGAAAAGTCTGACAAACCTCCAGCAAAACATACGCTGATATAAATCTATTAGTTGTGTTATTGCTATGCAGTCAAACAAAAATTGAGGAACAAATCCCATCAACGCTGGGGGTATTGCTTCTATTTTGGGATTTATCACGAGAGAATCACATGCCAACCCAGGAGGGGGGAGGCTCCCTTTGGCAGTGTTCCCCGCAGAGGACCGTTTTTTTTTCTCTATATTTCTTGGTGCTAGAAAATACCAGAAACATGTCTGAAATGTGCACACCGTGCTCCCATACAAAGAGTCTTATAAGTCTTTTAGAGGGTGAAGACTGTATGAAATATACTGAAGATAGTGTATTAATATTCGATCAAAAGAAGTATGGTTGCTTCTTCTTCCTCCACTTCCCTTCCACCCCCTTAGGCACCAAAATGCATCCCTTTTTTATGAGGCTGCTAGTTGCATTTTGTGTACCTCACATTTGAAAGGTTTTCCATTGATGTTGTGAAACTCTCTGGACGCTGTTAGAGTTCTAAATGAATTGTGAAATGAAGTGAGGCTAACCACCTGCTGTTCTTGTGTATACATAAACTCACAAATATTCTTAATCCTCTTTGAAGCCTAGAGTTTGTGCAAGTCATATTTTGTTTGAGGAGGATCGGTTCGAGCAATATGTGTGGTTTTGCCTTCAGACAGAAAAATAACATAAACAGTCAGACGTTGATGTCTCCCTACCTGTTTGACTGCCCATAACAGCCTGCTGTAGCAGTAGAGCATCACCAGGATGGGTAGGCCCAGGCAGAAAGTGAACAGGCAGATGATGTAAGCGTGCGACTGGGACGTTTTGACCGTCCAGGACACGGAGCAGCTGGTTCCCGCCCCCTCGATGCCGTAGCTGCTCCATCCCAGCAGAGGGGGCACCGTCCAGAACAAGGAGTACAGCCAGGCGCCCCCAACGGCCAGCAGGGGCTTTCGGTAGTCTGGCCCACGCTTGTTGTATACAGTCAGAGTGCTGTAGCGGTCGTAGGATAGGATCACCAGAGAGATGAGCGACACAATACCTGGAAACAAACAGAGAAGCAGTGAAGTGAGAGTGGGAAGCTCTGATAGCAGCACAGTACTTTCAAAACACAGCTGCCAGAATATTAACCAGAACCAGAACATTTGATCATATCACCCCTGTTCTCATTTCATTGCATTGGCTCCCGATTCACATAAGATCTGACTTCAAGATTTTACTATTAACCTTTAAAATCTTACATGGACTAGCACCTCTGTATCTATAATTACCCCGCACATATCTACCAGGCTCCCACGATCACATAATGCCAGTGTCCTTTCCATCCCCAGAATTAAAAAAGCATCCGTAGGTGGCAGAGCATTTTCATTCCGAGCGCCTCTCCTTTGGAATCGTCTTCCATATCAGATCCGCAAAGCTATTTCCGTTGACTCCTTTAAAAGCAAACTCAAAACCTGTCTCTTCGCATCTGTCTTCCTTGTAAAATAATTGTCATCACCTAGTTTCGGTTCATCAATACCATCACTCCAGTCACATGCTTTTAACACATGGCAATACTTATGTTGATGTATACTGTAATGTTTTTATAATTTTTATGCTATGACGTTTGTATTTTTATTTATTTATTGCTTTTGTTTGCTTTGTACAGCCCTTTGAGGCATTTCTTGTGATTTGGGGCTATAATACATTTGGATTTGATTTGATTTGATACTGTGATGGTTGTTGGGACATTTCACAAAAAAACCCACATCAAAACCTTATTGTGGCGCTAGAAGAAAAGTCCAAAGATCTCCAAAATAAAACTAGGATTCATGAAGAGCCGTACAAAACGATGTGGATGTTGAGATCTTTCTGTGGATATTAAAACCTTCAACCTGCTGGTGGCACCACAGGTTGAGTCACGGATCACCAACGTCATTGGGGTTCATCCTATGGCGACCATGAATGTCTAAATAACACTGTTTTGTTATCCATCCAATGTTTGTTGGATATAAAGTCTGAACTGAAGCTCCCTTTTGGAGGGAACTATGGGATCTTAGCCTTTGCAGACCATTAACCTGCACAAAACCCCATGTAACAGACTACAGGGTTAGGAGAACCAGATGCATCAGGATGTCTGGTAACCCTATGCATAACAGAGCCACTCATTTTGGGGGCAAAGCTTTCAATTAGAGCGTATTTCCGCCTCTGCAGATGATGAAAGCAGAGTACCCAGCTAGAAATGTTTGGTTCTCAAAACATTCTGAGAATGTTACCATTCACTGTTCTAGGAATGTTTTCAGCGGGAAGTTTTCTTTTGGTTCTCGGAATGTTCTTCTGAAAGGTAGGATAACGTTTTCTAAAAACATACTTAAAATGTTTGGTGATAACCTTCTTAAGATGTTTTTGATAACATTGTTCGAACATTTTGCCCTACTATTCTTAAAACGTTTTCAGATGGACGTTTTATTTTGGTTCCCAGAATGTTCTTCTGAAAGGTAGGATAACGTTCTCTAAAAACATTCTTAAAATGTTTGGTGATAACCTTCTTAAGATGTTTTTGATAACCTTAAGATATTTTTGATAACCTTAAGATGTTTTTGATAACATTGTTAGAACATTATGCCCTACTATTCTTAAAACGTTTTCAGCTGCAAGTTAGATTTTTTTATGTTGCCAGAATGTTATTATTTTAGAGTAGGATAACGTGCTTTATCGTTCCAATTTATCAGAAGTCTTTTTTTTCTTTTCTTTTTTAAATGCGACCAGCAGCTAGTACAAGTCACTGTCGGTGTCACATATACTGGAGGGGACCCAGAATCAGACTCGGAATCAGCTGGTGAAAGTAACATTTGTTTATTAGAAAAGGGGAGCTGGGAGTGGAGGTTGGTTATGGCGGCAGTGGGAAACAGGTGTTCCAGGGTGGGTAGAGAGGCCTGGCTGGTCTTGGGAGTGTGGAAGGCCTTGGATTCCTCCTGGGAGAGACATACAAATGAGTGTCAGGCAAAAGCAGGCAAAGTTGTCAAAGAATATGCTGGTAAAAAGCTAGAGCGGCACGCAACAAACCGTTCACGGCAACAATCCGGCAGGGAATGAGTGCAGGCTGCAGGCTTTCATAGTGTGGCTGATGAGCAGGTTGCAGGTGTGGTTGATTGGAGATTGCTCCCAGCCGTGTCGAGCAGACCAGCAGGCAGAGAGAGAGACACACAGTAGAAACAAACACATACAAACACTAACAGGGGTTTCAGGGACGGGCAGTGACAGTCGGTCCATTCTTCTATATGTCTGTCGGTCTCAAATCTAAAGGGTGCAATAACAATTTTTATCCAATATGCATAAACAGCGGACACTGTTTATACGCAGCCCTCACAAACCACACACGGCCAGATAGCTTATCCAACAGTTAGCCCCTACATACGAGACACAACCTTTATAGTCAGAAAAAAGTGTGATTATTTTCTGATATTTTACACATATGATATTATGAATACTGTGGGCCTACATACCTTAGTGTGATTATAAGTGCATGTGAGTGAATATTGGCATGCAAATTCGTTTTTATACGTCCTACACATTGTCTCAATGCGCTCATACATCTTAAAGTTATCACCAAAAATGTTAAGAATGTTTTTAGAGAACGTTATCCTACCTTTCAGAAGAACATTCTGGGAACCAAAATAAAACGTCCCGCTGAAAACGTTTTAAGAACAGTAGGGCATAATGTTCTAACAATGTTATCAAAAACATCTTAAGAAGGTTATCAAAAACATCTTAAGAAGGTTATCACCAAACATTTCAAGAATGTTTTTAGAGAACGTTATCCTACCTTTCAGAAGAACGTTCTGGGAACCAAAATAAAACTTCCCGCTGAAAACATTCCTAGAACAATGAATGGTAACATTCTCAGAATTTTTTGAGAACCAAACATTTCTAGCTGGGAACTCACACATGCCACCGCAAACATGCAATATCTGCTTACAGCTTATCATGAATTACATACTGTACTTGTTTGTCTTTTTCAAAAGGAAAATGTGGTGACATCAGATTTTTTAAAACATCCTTTTCCAACAAATGCAACAAGTTTGTTTTTTAAAGCACTCTAGAAATAAATCTGACGTTGACCATGACCGTGTTAATATTTGCCATCACAGGAACGCTTTATAAAAAAAGAATAACATCCTGAAAACATTTTCAGAATGTTTCTTGGAGAATGTTCTTCATTTGTTATCATGTAACATTGAGGGAACGTTTTATAAAGAACATCTTTAATGTGTTACCCCAACAACGTCCAAAACACATCCTTAGAATGTTGCAGGCAAAACGTTCCACCTTTGTTAACATATCACATTAAAGGAACATTTTATAAAAAAAGTTTCTGTCATCTCAGGCCTCAATAACATCCTGAAAACATCCTCTGAATGTTGCAGTTAAAACGTTATGTCTTAGTTAACCTTAAACCTTATAGGAACATTATTTGAAATAATAAACATCCAAAAAATGTTCTTTGAACATCAGATTAAAACGTTTCTTTAAAACATTATTAGAACCTGTAGGTAATGTTAGCCAAAGTTGTGAGAACGTTCCCCCGCTAGCTGGGTAGGCTTACCTTAATTGTAGCCACATTAGCATACACGGTGCTAAAACACCCGGGCCATTTACAGACCTCCACTAAATGAGGTCTGATTAAAAGGATCTTGCTGTATATGTCTTGCATGCACTGACAACTAGAGCTGTCCATCAGATCTCAAAGACTCAGGATAATGCGAGGTCTGAGCAGGGCATTGGATGATAGGATTATCACACCGGGTGACTCAATAATGAACTCATCCACTCTCCTCACGCCAACTTAATTTGAGGCATACTGAGGCCTTTACTGCCACTCCACTTAATAATGAGTCACTGAGTAACTAATTACATTTGTTCAGCACTTCCTTCAGTGTTGCTGTGTTTTGAATATGTGAATGTCCTTGAAAGTCTCTACCTCTCTCATTTGTTTTTGTCTGGAGAAATGTCTGACTCCACCTCTTATCATTCCGGTAGGGAGAAAAAACGATTCAGCATGTATATCTTTCAAAAAGTCTCAATTGTCTTGGGTGCTTAACAGAAGATTCAGCAACACTTTTTTTTGCAAAACAGTCACATGCAGATAGAAAAAAAAGAGGATAATGCCACCTGATGTTCCCGGTAATGGCTTAAGCCGGAGATAAACTTGCTTTTAACTTTTTTTTTGCAAATGGCTGCTTATCCTGTGTCCGTTCAGTGTTTTCTGTTGTGCATGATATCAGAAATAAACCTTACGCGTCCGCATGATGCACTTTGAACATGAACATCAGTGAGCAGTATTTTGTGGTAGATTTAGGGGCTTACTTAAACCTGCTGTGATCTCCTAATCAACAAAGTAGTAACCATGACGTCCTTGGATGTTGCCATGTCTTTGTCATGCTTTATATGGGTGTAGGACAACCAAGAAGTTAGCATTCAAACGGTTCCCTCGACAAAAAGCATTGGATGTGGGAATATTGCAGAAAATAAGCTTTGTGGCCAACTCCTATTTTGATTATATTGAAGCAGGATAATCTCCACATGTTAACATCAGTTTGTGATTGTTTAAGCGTAAATGCACTCGGCAGAAGTAAAAAGCTGACGTTAGGCTATCAAAAAATTACATCACAGTCACATGGCTGCGCATCACCATTATGTGGTCTGATTTAGTCACTTTAGTCACCGTTTTTATGACAGTCAGAAGCTTCTGACATTCACCAGCGGGGTATTTACTAATGTATTTTAAGTTATAGTTCTCTGTTGTGTCCTTTAGAGCAATCCTCCAGTAAAACTATGTAATACATCTGCAGGTATGTGAATAGATACATTCATGACACCACCGGTTCTATAATACTTGAACGGGTGGTTTAAGAGCAAATCTCCTGCCTCTCACAGTCTGGTGGGTCAGACTTCATGTCACTGCTTTCCACACATTGTCATGGAGCAGCCGTCACCTTATGGTACTGTGGGATTTGTTGTGCATTATATACCACTCAGAATATAATACAAATATTATTTAAA